CATCACATGGAAAGCGACTATAGTCGCCCGTAGTACCTGAGTGGCATCACATGGAAAACGACTATAGTCGCCCGTAGTACCTGAGTGGCATCACATGGAGAGCGACTATAGTCGCTCGTAGTAGGGAAAGGGTTAAAACGGTTGCCCTCGCTGCGTCCAGACCATTTATCCGATCCTTACCAAATTTTGTACAGTAATACAAGATACACGTATCTAGGGAATGAACGGAAGGATTTTTCGAAAAAATGCAAATTTTTTTTTCTTTTCTCAAAAACTCGGCGATTTTTCTGCAAAAATGTCAATTTTTTCGTAAAAAGTCGACTATTTTGAGAAAAATTAAAAAATCAAAATTTCCGCCGTTCATTTCCTGCGCCAACATCTCTACTAAAGGATAACACTCGGTTTTTATGTTTCTGATGAACCAATTTTTGCCAGTGAGGGCAACCGAAAATCACCTTTTTTTTTGGACTCTTAGAAAAGTGGCCACAGACGACACAATTTACAATATTTTTACACACAAAAAATTGTGAATATAGTTCAGATATATAACTGACATATGCCAACAATTTGTATTGATATTAATAAAACTGGCTGCAAAAAAAATTCACAAAAAAACCGCTTTTTTTTGCACTCGAAGGTGACGTGTCCCCTTAAAAAGAAAATTATGTAATACGTATAGGTACATATTTCCTGAGTAAGAAAAACAAAATATACATAAAAAAAAAAGTTAAAAAATATTCTTAGCATATGAGAGTAAGCAATTACGTTCATTATTTATTGTGTCATGTATATATATGTATAGTATATATATACTAGACTTCTCCGGTCAAGTGTTGCTGTGACTTTGTTATAAGACATTGATTTAATATTGTGGGTTTTTCTATAAGTTTTGCGGTTCGATAAGAAAAACACAATTTTATGCTTTAAAATACACTTTATTATAGAGTATAGTCTCCCTGAACATCAATACACTTGTTCCAACGAGATTCCAAATTATGAATTTCATCCCTGAAGTGAGAATCTGGAAGGGCTGTAAAATACGCTTCCACAGATGTTATGACCTCATCATGTGATGAAAAACGCTTTCCACGCATGATTTTTTTTTAGGTCTGGAAACAGATGGAAGTCTCTAGGGGCTAAATGTGGTGAATACAGTGGATGCTTCAACAATTCGAACTTTAATTCATGAATTTTAGCCATTGTCAAAATGGCTCTTGTGACACGGTGTATTGTCCTGATGAAAAAGGATTTTTTTCTTCTGAAAACCGGGTCATTTTTCACAAATTTTTTCCTTCAGCTGGTCTAAAAGGTTACAAAAATATTCAGAATTTATTGCTTTACCAGTTTGCAAGTAATCCACAAACAAAATTCCTTTCGCATCCTAAAAAACTGATGGTAACACCTTCGCCGATTTCTGGACACGAATTCGTTTCGGAGCCGAAGAACCAGGTTTACACCACTCTTTAGCCTCTTGTTTTGATTCAGGATCATGGTGATAGACCCAAGTCTTATCCATAGTGATGAATCGACGCATAAAATCCACTTTATCCTTTCGAAAACGCTCTAAATGCTACTGAGAAAGTCGCATTCGAATGTGTTTTATTTCCATTGTTAGCGAATGCGGCACCTATTGTGCACACAGCTTCTTGAAACCAATACTTCAGTCAAAATATTGCTTACACTGCCCAATGAGATGCCTAGGGCTTCTACTAAATATCTTTCAGTCACTCGACGATTTTCCAATATGATATCCTTTGTTTTTTTACGATTTCCGGTGTTGTTGCTGTTTTTGGACGTCTGATTGAAGACGAAGAGTCCTTATACACTTTCAAAATTCGTTCATAAATTTCCTTTGCTTTTAAACATTCCAAAAATAAAAATTCAATCATTGCACGATACTTGATTTTTTCAATGTAAAMAAATACTGTTACACGTCGATACTAAATRGCTTGTAAACAAAGAATGAATTAACAGATTAAAATGAAACTTYACATACGTTCATATGAAGAGTGTACCAACATAACAAAAAAAAATTTAGGCTAGTAGCAACCTCCGCTCTTATCGAACCGYAAAACYTATTGGACAGCCTAGTARYTCTAAACAATTTAATACAATGAAATTAATATTCACTAATAATTTCTGGGAATTMAAATTAGGCATAAAACAACATAATATTTTTAATWTATACAATGTATAATATATAAATAATAACACACAARATAATACCACAATTAGAATGGAATACATAAAGTAATAATACAATAAAAAATAGAAAAAGTAAGGWTATGTTSTATATAAATTAGAAAAAAACGTATRAGACGTGAATATATTGAAATAATTGAATTGTAATATAGTGCCTTCTATTGAAAACTTTCAGTAACTAAAGATAGTTTCAGTTCATATATAATATAATATATTGTATAATATTTTAATTCCTTATTTGAAAACGTTTTGGTACTATATATAACATCTGGTATCTTATAATTAGATAATTATTGTAATTTGCAATCTGTTAAATCAGTAAATTGTTTTTTTTTTATTATACACAACATTTTGTTATAACTAATATTTATGTATACAGACGGATTATACGTAATACTTTTTAAAAATTATTATTTCATTTCATATATAAATATGTAACAAAAGAATATATTTCAATGAAAATATATATTTTATGATTTTGTTAATTTTGGCTTTTTCTTCTGGAAAATTATTTCGGTAAATAATGATTTGTATATAAAAAGAAATTTTCTACAAATTTCGAGAAAATAATAATAATAATAATAATAATAATAATAATAATAATAATAATAATAATAATAATAATAATAATAATATATGTATTTGTAAAAATATTACATTAATTAGTTACTGTCATGTACATATATATAGGTTTTTCATTCAATATAACAATTAAAAAAAACAGTAAGATGACAATAATTTATAAAAAACAAATACCAATTTTTCCTTTCAAATTACCAATTAAAAAATACAGAAAAATATAAAATAATGAATGATAATTTATTGATATTTATATGATTAATAATCAATGCAAAGTAGCCCTTTTAAGAGTTATTTTCAAAGTTTTCAATGCGTTCAAAATTGATTTAGTACTAAGATTTACGGTTTTCCTTTGCAGAAGTTCACTTTTGATATTTTTTAATGTAATTGCTGGACTGCGTTCTATTATTAATTAAATTTATGTGTTAAAACTTCGTC